GCCATTAAATCTTATAGGACGTGGGTTACTGTGGAACGGTTATGAACATTTAGTATCTCACCTGGTGCAGAAAACTCCTGGAACAGCCTCAGTTTGAAGAAATACAATCTTACTTGGAATGGACTGATGAACAAACAGCTAGTCTGTTTCAAAGCTGTCAATTTGACATGATAATCATATTTACATAGAATATGTTTGAATCTGTAATATTTTCAGTGCTGTGTGGGATGTTTTAATGCAAAATTTCATCATATTTTAGCTTGAATAAACAGGTAATGTGATATGAACTGAGCTTCACTGACACTTACTCAACAAAGCAGTTGATCCACCAATTAGGGGGCATAACGGTCTTTGTTACCCATGTAAAACACTGAAAAAACATTTTAAAACCTTGTTTCTGATAATAATCGGTCACTCTGAGTTCATCATGCAGGCTGAACATAAAAATAGTCTCCTACAACTACCTCCTGCTTTAGCTTCTGATAGAAAATGATGGTGAAATGCTAGGATTTGAAAAGCCTGACAGATCTATGTTGTACTTTCACTAAGCATTCATGGACTCACCCATCATGACTCACGACAGGGAAGGTTGTCATTGGTTTAACCCTAACCCTAACCCACGAAACAGCAGAGAATGTCTCGGTTAGTAGAAGCTAACCATTAGCATTAGCAACTTCACCACAAAGCAGAACTTCTCTAGGCTTGAGTTATTTGTACAGAAAAAACATCAACATTTCAGAGCAAATGGAGTCAGTGGTAAAATCGTGTTGCTGTTAGCCAATACGAGATGTGAAATTTCAGAAAATGAAGCTCCAAATCCTGCCGTGGTAAGCTCTCCTCTGATGAGGCATTCTACTAGCTCCTGAAACAGGCGCATCTGATGGACATTCATAATTATTCATCGTGAACAGTCAGGAAATGTAAAACTTGTGGCCAAGTGATACTAATAAGATATTTTTTGCTGACTTACATTTTTTGAGGCGTTTCAATCCAAATTCACTGCGACTAGCCATTAGCTTGTCAATCCAGTTGGAACTAATCTGTTTCTCCAAACTGAGGTTGTTCAAAGAGCCATCTAAAACAGATGTGATCAAGATTCTTCACAACTTCTCCACGGAACTCCACTCAAAAATATCTGGAATATTCGTCAAACTACAAGTTGGATGATAATGAGATAATGAGATGAAACAGTCCGGGATAAAACGTTGCTTTTGGCATTTAAATGTAAACACAGCTGCCTTTCTCAGAGGAGTGAACAAAGTCAGCGGAGTTTATTCAGTCCCTCCTGATCTATATCAGTCCTGCCTTAAATACAACTTGCCATCTGAGCAACTTGTAATCTTGAGCCGCCTCTAAAGGCAGAAATAAAAGCTAACAGAGAAGGGAAAGATGGAGGAGGGATGAAAGAAAGCGAGGGAGGAAACCCAGCTGGTGACGTGCTGTTTTTATTTATGAGAGAACGGAAAACTGAGAACTATGGAGGAAAATAGTAAAACATACCACGTCCAGCTGGTGTCTCCCTCACAAGCACGCGTTATTTTTGCTGCACGGAGGGGCCAACTGTCTTCAGCTTCAGAGCTTCAGAGAGACACCTGTTACTGCTGCTTGGTATCTGTTTGGCTCACGGTCCAAATAACATGAAGCAGGAATGACATGCAAAGCATTTCGTGACCATGCACACACACACGCGCGCACACACACACACACACACACACACACACACACACACACACACACACACTGGCCCAGCAGTAAACAATGATGGTGGGTAACTTTTGACATCCTGGAGTCAACATAACTGTTATTAAAGTTGCTAAAAAGCTGCTTGTGTCAAGTAGAACTAAAGGACCTCAAAATCTTCAAGAGAAAAATTAAGTTTTGTGTTAATAAAAGAATAAAATGTAAATGAGTTTTGAGTAATCGCACGTCTTTTCAAGATTCAAGACTCTTTCATTGTCATTGTACCGACATGCAATGGGATTTTCATTGCACGTAAAGGAAGTAATAAGAAGTGATGTACTCCAAATGTAATTTGTAAAATGTAATATAGCGTGTTGTCCTAAAACGAATCTCAAAAAATGTGAACATCAAAAAGAAAACATCATAAAATATGACAGGATCACCAAAGTTTGTCTTTTTCTCTTATTAAGGAATACACCTTTGGTCTTCTGCTTTTAAAGGTGTCGTTCATTGGTTAATCAATACATTTGCTGCAGTTTCTAGTAGGAATGAATGCCTTGTAAGTCGTCCCCGGGGGACAAAAAGCACGGGTGCACCTTTTCCAGGAACTAGAAGTGATCCACATCCCAGCTGAGCTTCAGACAGCAGGATTTGGAGTCTTATTTCCTGATACTTGAACATCTTGCCTCAGATTGGATAACAGCAATGCAACACAGCCACCGACTTGCAATGTGGATGTTTTATGTCCTCTAACGACACAGGCCTGGAGGAGTTCTGCTGTGTGGTAGAGCTGCTAACTCTAACAGTGAGCTTCTAATAGGCCGAGACGTCCTCTGCTGTTTCCTGGATGCTAACCCAAACAACAACCTTCCCCGTTACAAGTCAAGATGTTTCAGCATGACGTAGGTCTAGCAGGATTTTCAAATCCTAGCATTTCACCGTCAGAAGCTAATGTAGAAGATATGTGTAGGACACCATTTTTATGTTCAGCCTGCATAAAAAACTCAGAGTGGCTGATTATAATTGGAAATAATCAATAAAACCCTGATTCACGATGCACACAAAGGCTCTCTGCCACTGACTCACTTGCTGATGAGGGCAGAAAGGCAGCAGCTTATATAAAAAGTTTTATTGATGATTGGCCAGACAGGCGCTCAATAACAACTCGAAGCTGGCCTGCAGCGCCCTCAGATGCACTCAGTCACCCTCAGCTGTACTTGTGACAGCAGACGGGGTATCGAGTGGAAACCTGCATCAGCAACACAGAGCTAAAAACTTGACATACCGAGGAAATCGCACTGAGCATGTGCAGAATGTGGTCCGCATTTTAAACTTAAAAAAGAACGGGCCAAACCAACAAACACTTAAAGGCTTGTGTGTTCTTGTGAGGAAGCTCTGTTTATGACATGCCGTGCCTTTTCAAAGTCAAACTTTATGTCTTCACTATAAATCTGTCCCTGACTATATATTTAAACAGCAACTGCGTACAGTACAGACAAATACACACGCCTCCTTCCCCCATCCCAGTCTAAACAGTGAGGTGTGTGTCGGTGAGAGACGAGCCTTAAGTCAATAATGTAGAGTAAATATTCCGTGTATGTTGGCTAAAAGGCGGGCGTCAGGCTGACAATCTCCTCACGGCTCATGCAATTGTTCAAAAACTCAATTATAAAAGGAATAACAGTCCTTTGGTTTTACACAAGACCAGAATTAGGACTTGATTTTGAAAATATGTACAGCACTGACTACGTTTTGGAAACTGAGTAAAATAAAAGCGAGTGAATGTGTCGTGTAGGTGCTGTGGGCTCATCATCCAACTGTTGGCTGCGACTAATCTAGAGCCGGAGGCAGAAAAGTAACTCCAACAATATTTATACTTGTTTTGAACAAGGTTTTAATGTCAACAAAGCCTGACCCATCACGGGCGAGGGCAAGCGAGGCCGTGGCGGCAGCATTAGAGTTTCAGCTGTGATTCTGTGGTCAGTGTCACAACAACACGTGAGATCACACGTGTGCTCCAGGTTATTGAAAAATCATTCGATTAGGGAAGAAAAACCGCTGAAAGAGAGAGAAAACAGAACCTCATACTTTTAACTCAGTAAGGTGAAAAGTTCATTGCTTGCAGCAAAGTTTCCATTGGTTTTCCTGATAACTTGGTACGGTCTATCTCCTGGAATGCATCTGACCAGAACAGGTTTGAATACTATAAATGCTCTTCCCCCTTTTATCAGCTACAAATCAGAAATGATAGTTCATCCATTCATGAATGCATTCAAGGGCAAGCAGCCAGTTGAATTAAATAAATCCTTAAACTTTTACGTTTACAGCTTCAGGCAAGAAACCCGTTCAGCTGAGGAATCTCAAGCAGCTGAAGAAAACAAACAGACGTCGGCAAAAGAAACCTCTGTTCCAAAAGAATCAAAGTCAGTCTGAACTCGTAAAAAAGGTCAACCTCAATGCTGTTTCCTGCATCTACTTTCTTTTATCTGCGGTAAAAACAATGTAAGGAGCTTCTTTTGTCTATCACAAGAAGTTCTGAGAAGAAACCTGAAGCCCAAACTAACAAAAAACTTAATGTAGGTACAATTTAGGGTTTTGCTCCCCATCTAATTCTTAAAAACCTTGCAAAAAAGGACATTTGCACCTCTTTCTGCGCTGGTGCAATTTTCTCACGTTTAAATCAAGTTTACTCATGCAGTTAAAGGGAAAACCAGTCCAGGTTTATTTTAAATGACATAAAATAAAAATTAAAAATGTGTGTGAGTCTAGAAAACCTGAGGAAAAGAACCATTCAGGTCTTGTTTTACTTCATATTAGGGCAGGCGTGGCAGGAAATGTGTAGATTATGATTCCCTCCTGTGACTAAGGCATGATATTTTTGAGTCGACACAAAACGGGTAAAAAATTAGAGACCCTTTCGTTATAGCTCTTCAGAATTAAATAATAAATACAATCAACTTTGTGTTAGAACACTAGATCAGATAAACATTCGCTTCAAGATGTTCACCAGTAGATTATCTTGTACGATAGAAATCTGTGAAGGTAACAATGAAGAAGAATCTGATGCCTTATGTGAGATCTCCTGCAGCTTTTTGCTCTATTTTGTTTTTTCGTGAAAATAAGATTTGAAACCGTTTTCTCCACCCATTTACCCTTTAATCAAACACTAGTAGATCCTACTCTCTGCTAGTGAGTAACTGTTGTCACAGATTTGAAACCCATAATTAGTCTCCACTTGCTCGATAAAAGCAGGAGGAAAAGTACACATTTGTGTTGCGTCCTAGCTGAACAGGTTTTTTATCTCTGGGCTTCCTACTCACAGGGCTCTGTAGGATCTGCGTCACACGTTTCTTCTGCTCCAGAACATTAAAGTCCTGCCTGAGATCCGGCGACATGTTTTTGGCTCTGATGTACTCTGGATCATTGATGTTGACCCGGTCAAAGTAGCGTTCTTTGGTCCCCCCACCAGGTGGCGGAGGAGTGGTCACCACCCCCTGATGGTTGTTGGCGCTCATGCCTGCTTCACCTCACAGGTTTGCTTGGCGGTTGTACTCTCACCTGAAACACAGGAACATGGATATGTTAAGTTTATGAAAAATGGAAGAAGTTCGCATAAACAGCGAGGGGGCGGGGTTTAAAGAACAGAGCAGTAGGTTGAAACTGAAGCGCCTATGGCATAGATGTATGCAAATCCAGCCGACATCAGGGGGCAGGGTAGATTTGTTTGCAGTGAGTAACATGCAAAAGAAGAATTGCACCGTGTGTTTTCATAAGATCATTTTTAGACATCTTCATCAAACCTTAGGCAAAGATCCCACACTCATTGGCAAATAGCGGGGGCATCACTTACTTTAATCCATAACGCACCGCTAATCTCAATTTGTGGTGGAAATTTGCCGCTGTTTCATCACAATCTAGATTACAAGATCTTGCTCGACCTGTTAGCACTTGGGGTGTGTATTGGGGGCGATTCTCAGCTGTAGCCAACTCTGTTGATTTGTTCCAAGGTTTGTTGGCCGTGACAACCACTTAGAATTGGGTACACCATAAAGGATGATCAGTTGTAGATCTAATGAAGACTTGGATGCCTAGAAGATCAAGAGATATTTTGACAAAACACTAAAGAACTAAAGTTTAGTTCAATGTCTGTAAATTTGACTGAGTTTTAACCACTTTAGTGTTGGCTAAGACCTAGTTCACACGGCAGGATAATTATCCAGGTTTTTGTCCTCTTCTTCACCATCATAGAGATGCTCCTGATAACGGCTATAAAGATAATCTTATATTCTTGCCGTGTGTGGTGTGTTAAGATAATCCTGTTTGCTCGGAACATCAGGACCGCTTTGATCACAAATTGTGGATTTTTAACATGTTGGATATATTTTGCCCGATGCTAAGGGCAAATGAGAGTGCTACCAGTTGAAAGTGACAAGTAACCAGTCAGAAAGTGAAAGGACAGAGGAGCATTGCAAGAGTGAGTGAAATCTAAATCCTCCTTTTCTGCCATGTTTGTTTACTCCAAAGTCACGTTAAATCTCGCGAGGTTTTGCGAGACTTCTGATTTCTGATATTGGTAAGTGAAACCAATTTGTGTGTGGTATTTCTGTAGGGCTGCGCAGTGGCGCAGTGGTTAGAGCTGTTGCCTTGCAGCGAGAAGGTCCTGGGTTCGATTCCCAGCCTGGGATCTTTCTGCATGGAGTTTGCATGTTCTGCCTGTGCATGCGTGGGTTCTCTCCGGGTTCTCCGGCTTCCTCCCACAGTCCAAAAACATGTCTGTTAGGTTGATTGGTCTGTCTAAATTGTCCTTAGGTGTGAGTGTGTGTGTGTGTGCATGGTTGTTTGTCCTGTGTGTCTCTGTGTTGCCCTGCGATGGACTGGCTCTCTGTCCAGGGTGTACCCCGCCTAATTGCCCGTTGACCGCTGGAGATAGGCGCCCCCGCAACCCCACGTGGACAAAGCGGTTTCAGAAGATGAATGGATGGTATTTCTGTGATATTATTTTATTGCCATGAGTGGTGTCTCTAATGTTTTAACATTTTTCGGAAGATTTTTTTTTATCCTGCCCTGTGAGCTGCACCTTAAGGTAAAGATGGCCAAAGACTGCAAAGGTTCATCAGTTGTGGATGTTCACCCAGCAAAAACTTCAATTAGAAGCCTCCCAGTGGTTCCTGAGATTTTAACTACTTGACAAACAAACACAATGACTTTCTCACCCTTCTTTGGCCTTTTACTGGTGGGTGATAAAACATCCGTTACCTTTGTACGACCAGCTAATTTGCTAGCAAACACAAAAATGATCCCTCTGTCATCTCAGGAAAACACCCAAATCACACCGTGTGCTTTTGAAGCAGGAAACGAGCCATTCATGATGTCATTGCTGTGTCCTAACAAGTGCTGTTCCACACAGTGCATGGAGGCATCGGCCAGGTGACTCCAAAAGCTCGTTCCACAAAGTGCATGGGAAGGACATGAAGGCCTTGAGTTGGTCAACTCCCACAGTTCATTCTTAGGTCACCAGGCAGGACAACAAGCATTTCTCAGGATACAGGAGGAGCTGCAACAGGCTGTGTTGTCATGCCAAAGCAAAAATCCAACAAAAGAGAAAACATAACAAAAATCATAAAAGTGAAGGACATGGAAGAATCAGCTCCCACAGCAACATAGCTGCTGTTGTAGTTGTGAATTATAGTTAAGGAGAGGCAGAGCTTCTGGTATACAAGCCAGATGGTTTGTTGGCTTGATGAGGAATAAAAGCAAGAATAAGAGTTTAAGAAAAGGATCCTGATGCTTTCTGTCTTAAGTGAGTGGTCACCTGACAGCAGGAGGACAACAGTCATTTATCTGACAGAACCTTTAAACCTTCACTGCTGTCAGATCAGCAGGTGGGAAGAAGGTCTGGGAGGTGGTTTGGTTTGACAGATGCCACTAAGCTGCTCATTCTGGCCAAATGCCACTTATAAAGATGGCTGAGATTAGCCGAGTGACACACAGCTTAGTCAGTGCAGCAGAGGCGTTACAATCAGGGGGAACAAGGGAAAAGAAACTCTACCATGTGGATTAACACATACTACAGTATGTAGGGTTTCACAACTTCTTGAATTTTAATCATTGATGATTGGAGATGCTGTAAACTGTCACGTGTGGCTCAGGAGGAGGTTAGGACCCAAGAGGCAGAACACCAGAATGACTCGAGGCAGAAGAGGTTTAAGAAAATAAAGTCCTTTTATTAAAGGAGGCTGGGCAAAAATCCAAAGGCAAAAATCCTGACAAAAAGGCGAAACATAAGCTCACTCATAAGAACAGGAGAACACTCGAGATGGACAAAACAACGCTGACGCTGGCAATGGACCGACAAACACTGAGGCCTAGTCCACACGTAGCTGTTTTTTTTAGAAAACGAATATCTGCCCCTCCAAAAACTTGCATCCACACCACCTCGTTTTAAAAAGAACTCTGTCCACACGTACCCAGATAAATACGTTGTTAAGGACATGCCAGACCTGTAGGCGGCAGTACTTCCCCCATTCTTAACCTCGTCCTTCGTCTGTGGTCTTCCGCAAGGAGCAGTAATTCCGCTTGCAAAAACAAACAAGCAAAAAGCGCTTGGACAATTGACAAAATGAGCGCAGCTCTGAGGGCATCCATGCTGTCGGCTAGTGTAAACACAGGTCGCACACGTGATGTCAGCATTTTTTGTCGCGGAAAGTGACGTTGCAGACCTTAAAACTTCGGTTTTGTCTGTCCACACGCAGACACCCAAAACGGAGAAAACGCAGATCTTCACTTTGGCCGGAGTTTTTAAAAAGATCCGTTTTCATGTGAAAAAACTCCATTTTGGTGTGGATGACAGGCCAAAACGTAGAAAAATATCTACGTTCTGGCAGATCCTCGGCTACGTGTGGACAGGGCCTGAGAGACACAGACAGGGTTATATACACAGGGCTGGGTGATAGGAGATGAGGAGCAGGTGCGTGGGGAATTGGGCACAGGTGAAACTAATGAACTGATGGAAGAAGCAGAAATAAGCAGGGGAAGAATCATATCTAAATCCTAAACCAAAGCTACTAAAATAACCTGAACTTTAAACACTAGAACAAAGACTAAAGATAAATAAACTAATGATAAGCGAAGTGACTAAAGGGAAACCTGACGACGCTGGGGACCAAAAGGGGGACACAGAACATTAGAGGACACATGAGGGGACCTGGAGGGGGCTGGGGACCACAGGGACACAGAACATGACAGTAAACATGAAGGAATACCAGTTGCAACAGGTAGCTCATTCAATACTGGCTTAAAAATCCACGAGTCACACTTTCTAAAGCTTTCAAAAGGCCTTTCAGTTAATGGGTAATTCATTGTTTCTTGCTGTGGCAGGTCAAAGACACCCCATCAAAACTATTCAATTGCATTCAAGTTTATTTATATAGCGCCAAATCACGAGAAGAGTCGTCTCAAGGCACTTCACATAGTAAACATTCCAATACAGGTCAGTTAATTAAGCCAATCAGAAAAAAGTTTCCTCTACAAGGAACTCAACAAATTCCATCAAGTCACTGACTAGTGTCAGTGACTTTACAGCAATCCTCATACTAAGCAAGCATGTAGTGACAGTGGAGAGGAAAACTCCCTTTGAACAGGAAGAAACCTCCAGAGGATCCTGGCTCAGTATAAGCAGCCATCCTCCACGACTCACTGGGGATCGAGAAGACAGAGCAGACACACACACACACACACAACATATGTTAACTAGTAGTAGCATATTCCATGTCAAAGAAAGTAAAATGCTATTATCAGGAGAGGGAGAATGTTTAAGTGGTTAGCAGCAGTGTGCCAGCCGATGGCCCCCTCCATGAGGCCACCACAGCTCAGCAGAACATCATTGTAGCTTCTTCTGGGGATAAAAACACTTAGAGAAAAAATAAAGTTAATAGCTGAAATGGCAGGAAATAATGCAGTTAAAGAGCAAATTGTAGAAGAAAGTAGTTGAGTGTGGAAAGTGGTCAGTATGTCCTCCAGCAGTCTAAGCCTATAGCAGCATAACTTAAGAGATAACTCTGGATAAACTATCCTTTTAGATGGAGGCATGTTGGAGGCAGGGCAAGGGAGGGTAGTCTTTACCGACTGTACACTCCACCTCCCTCTACTTTCCCACTTGTCCAGATCTGGGCTAACATCAGATTTTAACCATAGGCCCTATCAAATAAAAATGTTTTAAGTCTAGTCTTAAAAGTAGACAAGGTGTCTGCCTCACGGAATGAAGCTGGGAGCTGGTTCCACAGGAGAGGAGCCTGATAGCTAAAAGATCTGCCTCCCATCCTATTTTTAGATATTCTGGGAACCACCAGTAAACCTGCAGTCTGAGAGCGAAGTGCTAGGTTAGGAATGTATGGAACAATCAGGCCACTGATGTATGATGGAGCTTGATTATTAAGAGCTTCATATGTGAGAAGGAATTAAAATGTATTCTGAATTTAACAGGCAGCCAATGTAGGGAAGCTAAGACAGAAGACATATGATCTCTCTTTTTAACTCAAAGATAACCATGCAGATTTAGA